GCAGGAATAAGAATACCGTTCTGTAGCACAGTGGTCTGTAAGGCTGTATACCCAAGGCAAAACAGATTTGAGTCCATGTTTTAGGTAGTGCACATCTTCATGTATTGAATTCACACAAGATTCCCTTCAGTGCCTGTATGTAATCACACATGTATGTAACTACTAATTTCATGCAGAAAATACAGTCAGTCAACTGGGTTACTACGCTTGATAATTAACTCCTCTTGTGCTAGGTGACACTGTATCACTAGGGACACTGAAGTGTCAGTGCAAAGCAAATAAAGAACTGGTCTGATGCTAAGTGGCTTATGTTGTGACATAGTTATAAAACAATAAGCTACTGACAAATGGCCTCACTCACTAAGGATCTGAGCTTTAGGTGAGAGCATAAGCATCCAGTATTTCTTTACCCAGCTTCTGACCCTTTATCTTTTCAACCTGGAACAAAATCACCCAGTATAGGAAGAACTGGGAGAAGGGAACAGTGCTGATACATCAAAACACCTTGTAATAACCCAGGCTGGCATCCATTGGGGAAGCCAGAGATTGCAGCAGCATCACAAGGAGAAAACTTGTCTGTGTAACACCAATATCACAGCTAGATCTCAGATTTTCACCAGGATCAAGGCATGTGTATGCCAGAATCTGTGAAAACATACAAGTTACAGCTGCAAATACATGATCTACTTTCAGACGAGACAAAACTAGGAGGCACTAAAATAGGAGGAGGAAAGTAGCTATGAAGGCAAGAATAAGAAAATCCTGAAAATCCTCAGGGGCTGTGTTACTGAGTGGCTCAAAGTGAACTGCTGCTTGGGATTGTGAAGACACCACTGAGGCTTCGCCTCTACCTAGCCTGCTACTTCACCATCCCCTTCTTCACTCCTCCCTTACACACAGCTACTCTTCCAAACAGAATGTGAGGTAACGACATGCCCCAGTTTCAGGCATGAACCACAGAATGATTTGGGTTGGAAGGGACCTTAAAGACCATCTAGCTCCAACCCCCCTGCCATGGGCAGGGACACCTTCCACTAGACCAGGTTGCTCAAAGCCTTATGCAGCCTGGCCTTGAAGACATCCAGGGATGGGACATCCACAGCTTCCCTGGGCAACCTGTCCCAGTGTTGCTCCCCTTCCCCTTAGTACTGCTACCAAATCTGTCTTTTCTGGAGAAGGACTGTTTATTTTTAATAATGCTTATCTTTCTCTCCAGGGGTCAGGAAGATTATCCCATTATTATTCAAACAGCTCTTTGAAGACTGAAAAGATTAAGTCAATACTATTACTATAATTACTGAGAGCAGAGAGGAAACCACGCCATGACAGTAGACAAAGCAGACTCGAAAACTGACAGCAACTGTAGTTCTCAAATACAGCCTCCCACAGTAAATTCTTCTGCTCACCCTGGAGTTCCTTCCTTACCCTCAAAGCTATACAATGTTGGTACCCAGTGAATGTCTGGGCAATTTGGCAACCAGCCTTTTGGCCTAGGGAGCCTTATTTTTCTTCCCATACTGCCCTACTGTTCACATAATTGTTTTTTTGGGCCATGGATTGAGAGTCTGAGTTTGCCTTAGGCACAAGAGATACAAACTTCAAGCCTGAGGGGCCTGAACTGTTGCTGCACTGGTCTGAGGAGAGTCTCAGCACTTGCACTCACCATGTTGCCCCTAAGCTGCTTCTCTAGATGACACTTAACAAGCTCTCGTCTGAAGAAAGCATCACAGACTCTCTCCTCAGACAATATCTCCATGATAGGGATGAAAAACTATCTCCTAATCAACAAGCAAATTCCTCACGCCCAATGGATATTGCCTTGGCCTGTCAAAGCATATTTAAAGCTTTTTGTGACAATTCAGCAGACAAATGTGGAGCCTCAGGAAAGTTCCATGTAACTTTTTACTTGAGAGAGACGAAGGAGCCAGCTGCCCTGCTACAATACTGCTTTCTTCATCACAGCCTACACAGGCAGGCCTCTTCACCTTACCCACGGCAAGATGATCTATGGCAAATACACCGAACCAGGGTTGAAACGAAGTTCTTTATGAGAAAAGCTGCAGCAGCTGTTTGACATGCATTTAAAACAGAGTTGCTGAAGTTGAAAGTAAGCCCCAGGCTAGCCGCAGTGCTGTTCTCACCACCTCCCAC